CAACCTAGTGATTCTGTGATTCTGTGAAGAACTGCAATCTGTGGGAAGGACTCACGTGGGAGAAGTCCATGGAGGACTGTCTCCTGCGGGAGGGACCCCATGCTGGAGCAGGGGAAGAGTGTGAGGAGGGCTCCCCCTGAGGAGGATGGAGCAGCAGAAATGTGTGATGAACTGACCACAACCCCATTCCCCATCCCTTGTGCCGCTGGTGGGGAGGAGGTAGAGAAAATGGGGAGTGAAGTTGAGCCCGGGAAGCAGGGAGGGGTGGGGGAAAGGTGTTTTAAGATTTAGTTTTATTTCTCATTATCCTACTCTGATTTGATTGGTAATAAATTAAATTCATTTTCCCCAAGTCCAGTCTATTTTGCCAGTGACAGTAATGGGTAATGATCTCTCCCTGTCCTAAACTCGACCCACAAGCCTTTCATTATCTTTTTCTCTCCCCTGTCCAGCTGAGGAGAGGGAGTGATACAGTGGCTTTGGTGGGCACCTGGCATCCAGACAGGGTCACCCCACCATACCCTGTGAACTCTGTGCAAGTCCGAAGGCATTTACCAGATACCAACTATTGTGATTTTTTCCCAAGTTATAAGCATCCAGAATTTTGCACCAATATGTTGAAAGAGGATTTAAATGCATCACATGAAATAGAGTTGGAAATGGTTGTTAATCTCTATTAATATGGTATTCCTATAATCAAACACATGTGGTGTTGTTTTGGGTTTTTTTTATTAAACTGTTAATAATATTAAATTGGCCATTGGAAACTGAATCATGCTACAGATATTTCCCTTGCCAAGGCTGTCTTGTATTACACTGTTTGAAGGAACAATGTATTTTATCATAAAAAAAATAGTAAAATCACACTGCCTTCTTGCAGATGCCATCCCACCGAGCTATTACAGCCTTTACTTCCGAATCGTCAGATTTGATGTCTCAGCGATGGAGAAGAATGCCTCCAACTTGGTGAAGGCTGAGTTCAGGGTCTTCCGCCTGCAGAATTCTAAGGCACGGGTCTCGGAGCAGCGGATAGAGTTGTACCAGGTACCGTGACACCTCACGTGCTCCTTGTCTCTCCACAGCAATCTAGCCTTGTACCCATTTAACAGGTGGAACAAACCATGGGAAGAAACAGTTGAGTTGTGTCTTTCCAAAGTAGCCTCTTATTTCCCGTGCCTTTCCTAGAAAGGACTTTATTCAAAACTGTATGAATCTGAAATGTGCAAACTTTTTCTAGCAATTGTGGCTCAGGAGTCCCAAAGTTTCAGCATATAAAGGTAAGTGACAGAACAAGACATCAAACAAGTCATCCCCAGGATCTCTCTCTCCCAACACCTGGCCTGTACTGTGGTTTACGTAGAAGGTGGCAAATTCCTCTCTCTGGCCTGTGTTCAGGAGGAACTTGTTAACCGTTCCTCACAGAAATGGCGTTGTTAATAATTGAGATTCAAAGCTTAGCAGTTTCAGATCTGGCTTTTGTATAGTGGCCTAGGGATTGAGGCAAGGGAGTGGACAATTCAGGGATTGAGGAGTGAGTGAGAAAATGATCCCATCACTCTCTCCCTCCTGAGTGTTGGTAAGATTGATGTCATTTAATCTTTAAAGCCATTAAAGTCACTTACATAGAGTCTGTACGTTTTGCGCAAGTATTGTCTAGAGCATATTTCATCTAAAGCATAGTTCACTTTGCTGAGAAACACAGCAACAAAAAGGGACTCAACTCCTAGCCGTTTTATACTGAGTAAAACTCATGGTTGTTCTAGCAATCGAGGACTTGTTCTGCTGAAAATATTGCCAGATACAATACCACCTTGTAAAACTAAGTGTATTGAGCCCTTCTTTGTCTCTTCTTGCTGCCTTCATTAGCCGTGCCTGACCATGACCATGGGTTTGCAGCACTGTAGAGTCCAGTTTGGATCCAGTGGGTGCAAATTTGAGTTCGTCTTCTCCCTCACTTTCAATGTTCACCTTTTCCTGCCTGGTCTGGTCAAGTGCAAGCCAAATTTGGAGCAGAGAGGGGGGAATTTGGGTTCACAAGCCTGCTGAAGTGACCATATAAGCCAACCCTACAGGCTAACAACAGGAAGAGGTGCACTGGACTGTTTAGACATCGTTTAAACGTAGGAGAAGCATGATTCCCAGTTGAATGTGGTTCAGGTCCACAGGTTGTCACTGGGTGTTTGGCTTCATGACTGCCACCTTGGCTGCCTTCCCAAGGACAGGCTGGCAAAAAAAGTTGGTAAATAATGTGTCATTTGTTAAAAGAGAAAGCTAGCAGGAATCTTTAATGGGAGTCACTGGTGTCTTCTATATATAACAGCTGTCACAGAGAATTACACTACAAGTCCCTGTGATGCTGCCACGCCACCCTTTTGAAACGATTGTACGTTCTGGCTTGACCTCACTGTTCAGATATCCCAAATGGGAGTTGATGGCATCTCTGGGCTTTCTGTTGTTCTGCTTTTGAGAGCTGTTAGTCAGCCACCCGAAAGGAGTACAGCTGCAGTTGCCTGAGCTCTGCTCATTGCCTTCCTGTGTTTGAGGAACATGGGACACAAAGGGTCCGCTGGAGGTAGAGGAGGGCCGTTACTTGGCTGGGATTTCTGCTTGTGATGAGAAACAGCTGGAGCTTATTTGAGAGAGCCTGACTCCAGCAAGCCTGTGCCCATGGAAACGACTGACACCTGCATCCAGGGCAGGTACTTGGGTCCTTCAGATAAATATATCACTGGTGAGTAAGGCCATTTCTTTTTTAGGCTGGGTGGGGCATACTGAGCAAAGTGTTAGGTGAGTAATGAGTGCAGGTTATTGTAGGATTAGGTCTTTTCTCCACCAAGTAACAGGCAAGCCAAAGGCAGCAAGCTCTGAGTGTGTGTTTGTGCCAGGCATATTTTAGGCATGTTACTTTGCTCCTTTGCCTGTAGAGAGACAAGCTGTCTCTGGAGCATTTTCCTTTCAGAGCATCTATTAAAATGATAAAAGCTGCCTGTTAGTTCCTCTCTCTGCTTTACTTCTTACAAGCTCCTGTAGCTCCTGGTTGTTTTTCCCCCCTTTTGGTTGTATTTACTTGTTGCAATTTTGTATGCAGCTCTCCCCAAAACCCTGTGTGCAGGTATTATCTTAGCTCTGTGGTGGTCAGTCTGAACAGCATGGGTTCCTTACCAGTGGTAAGGAACTTGCCAGCTCTACTGCAGGGGCATCAGAGTCCATAAATAATGCTGCATCTAGCCTCCATCACAGTGCATGAGGTTACATGCAGTGTTTAATAGGAGAAGCCAAAGCAGGGAGAAGTTGAAGAGGAGGATGTATTGTAGGACAGCGCCTAAAACTTAGAATATGAATTTTAGAGAGGAAAATCTAAGGAGCTGCAGGTGGGGAAGGATGAGTAGAAGGCAGTGGTGCCAGGATGATGCTAGAGAGGAGCTTCAGGGCTGCGTAATGATAGACTGATAGGGGTGTCTAGCAGTGGAGGAAGGAACACATCTGGGTGGTGAAATGGGAGAATGAGGAAGACACTTATTTCAGTGGAAGTGGGAGAGGCAAATACATTCTGTAAGGACTGAAGACTTTCTCAGGTATCTTCACTTCCAGCACGAAAAGCCATGCATGGAGAGAAAGCCTTGCAGAGGAGAGTGCTGGTGGAGTTGGCATGCCCAGCTGCCGCTCCTCCATGCATAAATGGTGCTTCCTGTCTTGTGAGATACGTGCTGGGCTTGCCAGGGCTGTTGTGCCCAGAAGGAACAACGTGGTTTTTCATCTTGCATAAGCAACATTTAATTATTAGTTTGTTTTTTGTTGCTTTTTTTTCTCCCACCAAGTTTCGGGTTGCCTAGTGTTTTGCTTTGAGGAGATATTCTTGATGAGGGTTTTTGAAATTCCTCTCATACCTGTAGTTTCAGGGAATGGTTGTTCCTGTGTCCCCTCATCTTTCTCAGTGGAGCAGGAAGAGAAGGGCAGAAGTCTGAAAGTGGCCATCGTTGAACACATCCAAGTCTCCTAACTGCTCTCCAAGAGCTCTCTGATTTAGTCCAGTGGCAGTTTAGTAGTAGTATATACATACCACTGGTGCAGAAGGGGCAATATTACTCTGAAGGATTATTTTAGGAACAGCTAGAGACAGATGTGCAAGGTAAATGGAAAAAATAAGCAAGCAGAATATAAATATTTTGCTGCTTCTGATTCTTTGTGTGGTCCTCTGACCTTACACATCTACCCCTTAAAATGAAAAAAGAAATGCAAGACTGCACCTTTTCAGCTAAGCTTTCCTCAGGCTATACTTGGCTCCCTTTTCCAAACCACATCAGAAAAGGACTTTGTGTTTTCCTGCAGCCCTTGTTTGCACTGACTCTGGGAAGGCAGTCTGAGGCTGCTTGGCATGGCAAACCAGTGCCGTGGCCTCTCACTCCTGGCCCCCAGCGCAGCAGCAGCAGGACCCAGTTCCCATCTCAGAGCAGGGTTGGAGTAGAGAGCACCCCCATCGTATTTGTGGTGGGAGCAAGTGGTTGTGGGTCTGTTTGCGAGGTCTGCTGCACCCCAGATTTCTGCAGGTCCTGGAGGTGCTCATGGAGGTGCCCTGGATGCATCTGCAAAGCAAGTGGTAATCCCCAAGAGCAGAAACAGTTTCTTTAATGTCTGTTTTCACCCAGAATACTTTCCTTGGTATTTAAGGATTAGTCAGCCACATCTGTGTGTTCCTGCACAGATGGGAAGCGCAGCTCACATAGTAAGTAGTCTTAAGATGGAAAATAATAAAACCCATAGAAGTAGGAATTAAGTTTCTTTTATAAGGCTGGTATAAAAGCTTCTGTCTCTTCTTGGCTCTGGTTAAGCGAAGCCACAGAGAATTAAATTCTTTAAAGGCACTATCTTTTCTGTTATTTCTTCTGCCTGAAAGTGAGGGTTAATCTGCTGATGGTGCTGCTGATCATCAGCACGTTGGAGAGTGGGAAGCCGGAGGGAAGTGGCATGACCTCAGACAAGGGGAGTGCTCTCCCGCGCTTCTCCCATCCTTCCACTGTGCCGCGTTCGCTGATGCGCTTCTCGGTGTGCACTGAGACTTCAGAAAATATTAAGAGGATAAAGTACTTTTGGGGAAAGGAGGAGGAATAATATTAAATAAACAAGTTTTAGCATCCTCCAGTGGCCCTTGCTATGTTTTTAAAGATTTGTGCCAAATGCAGGCTTTATTGGAATTTGATCAGATAAAGCTCAGTTGTTATGGGAATGTCTTTGTTCATCAGTTTTCTTGACTGCTTTGAAGACTTCATCACATCTTTCTTTTATTAAGGTGCTTCTGTATTTATGAATAAAGTCCCTGCACTCTTCAGAAAAAAAGCTTGTCTTTTATGAATAAGCATTCCAAAAAATAAATAGGCACCACCGCAAAGCTGGACGACTGGGAACCCTCACAGGGCGAAAAGCTGTAGTTCAGAGAGCATTGTGGTATTGTTTTTAAGGTAGTTTTATTATGTACAGACGGTCAAACAATAACAAGTAATAATTACTTCCTATGGAAGCAGTGCCCTGTTTTGTTAACACATCATAAAGCTTCAAGAAAAATGCAGCTGAAGCGCTGTTTTTTATTGTCATCATTATCCGAGGCTGCTGTGGGTGGGAGTACCTGAGAGGCTGCAGATGGGGGAGACATACCACTGGACGTATGGGAGCACGGGGTTGGAGCAAATGAACGGCGCCAGGTTAAAGCCCAGGGGGGACATCAGATTGCGATGAAGAATTTGAAGCAAGCAGGAGCAGACCTTTGGTCTTCCCATGTTGGGGAGGGCCAGGTCCACACCAAGGGCTCCTGTGGAGCTTGCTCAGGCTCTAGGAAGAACCATCTGCCCTCCAGACAGGTTCTGGAAAATGGCCCCCCCATTTCTTGAAGGGCCTCTCTCCCTGCTTGGAGGTATGAGGAAGAAGATGCTGTGGAACATATTACCCCATTATGAGTCAGATTTAAATTTAAACCACAGTCGGTTGTTCAAATACTTTCAATTCAGACAGTGTTTTGTCTTGTTTTTCAGTTAGGGAATACGTTTAGAGAG